TATCAAGAATATATTTTACATATAAATTTGTAATCCCTGATACTAAAACAAAATAAAATTTTTGTTATTTATGCAATTTTGGTCAATGTTCTCTTGACTTTAATAAACTGGTTATTAAGTCCAAAATGCATGCTAAAACATTGTTTTTTTGGTGTATAAAAAACACTATGATTTTTTTAACTTTAAGACACTTGGCCGTATGCACAAAAATATTTTTTTAAAATTTTTTTTGTGTCACTTGGCCGTATGCACAAAAATATTTTTAAAAATTTTTTTTTGTATTTTGAAAGTTTTGATGAAAACCAGGTATTTTAATACTAGATTTGTATTTTTACAACATGAAATACAAACCGATATTAAGCAAAAAAGACATAAATTAAAAAGTTAAAAATCATAAATATTAAAAGAAACATAAATTTTATTTTATTTTTATTTTAAAATTGGTCAGATCCGGCCCAGAACCAAATAGGTTGGTTACTATGTTTAAGCACAATAACCAACTGTTTGCATGCAAATACAGATAGCAACTGAGCAAAGGAAAAAGAGATGGGGGCAGCTAGAGGTTACCTAGGGATGGTGTAGCCTGAGCATGGCCATAAGTTATGGCGACCATACTGTTGTCGCGGTGCAGGGATTGTGGTGGTTGGCAGTGCTTCTCCTTCTTTTTCCTCTCTCTCCTTTATTTTTTTCCTTTTTTTTTCATTGTTGCCTCCTTTATGTCTTCATTCTCCCCTTTCTTGTCTTGTCTTCTGTTCTGCTTCCTCTCTCTCGTTGTATTTTTTTTTCCTACTTGTGCTCCCCTGTTTTTATAGGCAAAAAACAGGGGAGAAAGTAGATGGGGTGGCCACTGTGTTGCCACCCCTCCACCGCTCCTCCAATACATGGAAAGTTGTGGGCAAGTAAGTGTCATTGGTCGATGTTTTTTTTATGTTTTTTAGAGGAAGAAAGTCAGTGAAAATAAGAGGAAGAAAAATCTTCTTCTTCCCTTGCTTCGCTCGTCCAAGGGAAGAAAAAAACCCACAGTGCCATCAAAACAACATAGTTTCGGGCTTTTTTTTTTTTTAATGAACAGTGTATGAAACGACACTGTTTTTATCAAAATACACCGTTTCATTTAAAAGAAAAAAGGCAGCATAACATGTCAAAGTCCAAATCAGTCCTTGATTTGTAATTTGATCAATCAAGTTCTAAATTGCAATTTTAATTTAAAAATCAATACAATTACACCCCTGCCAAAAATCAAACAACAATCCTGAAGTTGGCTGTATTTTCACTTTGGTCTTTGGTCTTGAATAACAATTTGGCCCTCAATTAAGTAATAAACTTCTAATTTCTTCAATTTGGCCCTTAATTTGGTTTAATTATAGCCCCTCTATTTATGCATGTTTTTTTTTATTTTGGTCCTTGGTTTCGTATTTCTTCAATTAAGTCTCTAATTGACCATCAAACTTTAATATTTATACAATTAAGCCCCTAATTTGACCAAATTAAATCTTAAAAATTATAATTTGACCCCAGAACTTTAATTTCGTCTAATTAAAGCCCAAATTGATTCCAAAATTAATTTTTCTTGGAATCAAACTCTCCATAAATTTAATTAAACCTTTAATAAAATTTAATTGAGTCCATAAACTTTTAATTTTGGACTTTTCTTCCTCAAATTGAATTTTCTTTATCAACGGGGCTCTTATTAGTCAATAAAATATTATCAAACTCTTTGTATTTTGAACCTCCTTATCTAATTTTTAACCATTTTTAAGCGTTTTGACAACATTTTCTCATTGTTCTTATTTTTTTATTTTTCTTCGAACATATATTTTTTTTGTTTTTTTTGTATTTTCTTCTTCTTTTTTTTGTGTGGTGGCCTAAAAATAGATTATGACAATGAAATTATTTTAATTTTGTGTCCATGGTCATAGGATAAATAGGTTAGTCTAAGTTAATTTAGATTTTTTTTTCATTTTATTTTTTTTTGTATTGAAATTTTGATATTTCAATCCCTCAAATTTACAAGGAGAAAGAGTTATTTTTCAATGATGTAGAAGAGAAAAAATTGTTCATTAACCAAGTTTTAGAGACAAAAGAAACCAAATTTAGTTTAAATGTGTTCAAGAGTAGTGTTATGTATGTATGTTTTTTTATCTTTCCTGTCACCAAAAAGAAAAGTATACCCAGGTTAAGAAAGAATTTTTTTTAATTGGTTTAATTTTATGTTTTTTTTATTAATTTAGGGGTTTTGAGGTTATGAATTGGTTTATTTGGATTTTTAAGGTGTAATAATGTGATAGATGGGAAAATATTATTTTGGTTCCAAAATACCCTGGTCTAACTTTTTGATAATTTTTTTAATGACAAGAATCTAAGCCAACAAATGATGCGATATTTATTTTTAAAAAAATAAAAGGATTAATAATATATTATTTATGTAAAGAACATCAAGCCCACAGGCCTCATGTTTTTTAGCCAGGTGCTTAACTTTTATGGTCTTTTTTTTTCTTTCTAATTATTTTTTAGGTTTTGATTGAAATGTAATTTAAATTTGAATGCATTTATTCTTCTTCATTCCAGTCAAGTTTCTAGAGCACATTGCTCTAGACTTCTCATAGTTTACCTTAAGCCCAGATGCCCTACAAGAAACAGAGAGGAGGTTTGAGACAAGTCTTATCTGGGAATTATGAGCCTCTGTGAGAAGCAACACAACTGATATGTGCACCGGTTGTCATAGATTCTCAGACACTGTCGGTGATGAAGCAAGACAACTTCTCCATACAAAGAATCAAAAGGTAAGGTGACATTGGATCCCCTTGTTTTTAGTCCACGAGTAGAAGCAAAACAAGGGGATCCTATGTAATTTTTTTTTATTGAAAAATATGTTTTAAAAGTACTAAGATGCTTAGTTTTTTTTTTTTACTGGAGGGGCAATCATGTAATGTTCTAGCGCATAAGAATAAAAAAACTCATTGGTCCCTGCATGATATGACAAAAACAATTACATCATGGTAATATCTAGTTCAAATATTTCTTGTGTAAGAATAATTTCTTAATTATACTATTATAAAAAATAACTTTTTTAAAACATAATTTGATATGATGAAATTAAGGGTGAGTAAAAAAAACTGAAAAAAATAATTAAAAAACCGAATCGTGAAAAAATCGATTAAAATTTGAAAAATCGATCGGTTTGATTTAAGTTTGAAATCAAAAAACTAGAAAAAACCGAGTCAAATCAGAAAAAACCTAACCAAACAGAAAAAACTAAGCTAAATAGATTTGAATCAGATTTTATTCTAAAATATCAAATCAAAACTAATTGATTTGAATCAATTTTTATTTTTTTTAACTTAATTTAATAATTTTTTTGATAAATAATAAACCAAATTAAAAATAATTAACCCTGAATGAAATCATTAAATCTTGGTAAGACATGATTTTTGACTTTGCCATAAATATTTCTTGGGGCTATTTAATTTGAAGGTATGATGACTTTTTTTTTAAATGAGATTTATACTTTAAAAGAGTTATATATTTTAAAAAAATCCATCACATCTTAAAGTCAAACACACACAACCGACTACCACGCCCAAAAGGCGTCCAAATTTGCAAGATGGGCTCTCTCCCAAACTTAGAAATGTAGTTATTTTAATTGAAGATTTTGATAAATTGGAGAGATTGTAAATAAAATAAGAATGTTTGTTCATAAAAAAATATTAGCATCATCCATCTATTTCATCAATCTATCATAGACTTGTGGCAGCATGATAGATTGTAGGAAATACAAAAAAAAAAAAAAAAGAAATATTAGCTTTTTTCGGGTATATCATAATAATCTTTTTAACATATTATGAAATTATGTAAAGGCTATTAATTAAGAGTTGGAATATTCACAAATATACAACACAAGGGGATCCTATGTAATTTTTTTTTAATTGAAAAATATGTTTTAAAAATACTAAGATGCTTAGTTATTTTTTTTAACTGGAGGGGCAATCGTGTAATGTTCTACCGCATAAGAATAAAAAAACTCATTGGTCCCTGCATGATATGAAAAAAACAATTACATCATGGTAATATCTAGTTCAAATATTTCTTGTGTAACAATAATTTTATAATTATACTATTATAAAAAAATAATTTTCATAAAAAATAATTTGATGTGATGAAATCAGGGGTGAATAAAAAACCTAAAACCGAACCGTAAAAAAATCGAATCAGGTTTGGTTTTATAAGTTTGAAATCAAAAAACTAGAAAAAACAGAATTAAACCGGAAAAAACCTAACCAAACAAAAAAAACTAAGTCAAATAGGTTTGAACTGAATTTTGTCTTAAAATATCAAATTACAAACGAATTGTTTGAATTAATTTTTATTTTTTTAATTTAATTTAATAATTTTTTTAATAAAAAATAAATCAAATTAAAAATAATTAACCCTGAATGAAATCACTAATTCTTGGTAAGACATGAATTTTGACTTTGCCATAAATATTTCTTCTTGGGGGTATTTGATTCGAAAGTATGATGACTTTTTTTTTAAATAAGATTTATATTTTAAAAGAGTTATATATTTTAAAAAAATCCATCACATCTTCGAGTCAAACACACAAAACCGACTACCACGCTGAAAAGGCGTCCAAATTTGCAAGATGGGCTCTCTCCCAAACTTAGAAATGTAGTTATTTTAATTGAAGATTTTGATAAATTGGAGAGATTGTAAATAAAATAAGAATGTTTGTTCATAAAAAAATATTAGCATCATCCATCTATTTCATCAATCTATCATAGACTTGTGGCAGCGTGATAGATTGTAGGAAATACAAAAAAGAAGAAGAAGAAGAAGAAGAAATATTAGCGTTTTTCGGGTATATCATAATAATCTATTTAACATATTATGAAATTATATATATAAAGGCTATTAATTAAGAGTTGGAACATTAAAAAATATACAGCAATCTGTCAAAGAAGTGGTAAGAGAAGTCGAAATTTTGTGCTTATACATCAAACATCATCATCATCATCATATTCAATGTTTTGCTTATCATTAATTGCCCCTTAGTGACCGAATTAACTATCAAACAAATGAAAGAACAAAAGAAAAGAAAATGTTAAAAAATAAACAACTTGAGAGGCATTTTCCAAAACTTTAATTTCTCTAGTTATTATCTATCCATAAATATTAATATGAACAGCAATAACTAGCTTGTTTAGTTGCAGATACTTCATCAATATTAATCACTTCTTTTCCTGCTGGAAGAGCCTTTGTGGTAGAAATTGTTGTTTCATTCTTCTTAGCCTCCAAGCTTTTTTGGCTTGCGATTTCATGGATTCTGGTGATCATTTGCATGAAAGCTTCCTCCACGTTCAAATTCTCCAACGCTGATGTTTCCATGAAATACAAAGCTTCGGTCTCTGCGAGGTTCTTACCATCGTCTTCATCAACTTCTCTAAGATGACTAATATCAGATTTATTTCCGACAAGAACAACAACCATATCTGAGCTACCAAAGTCTCTTAGCTCATGCAACCATTTTTTCACATTGTCAAACGTTGCTCTCCTTGTAATGTCATAAACTAGCAACGCACCTAGAGCCCCACGGTAGTAAGAACTGGTGATAGCTCTAAACCTGTAGCAAGTGAAATTATTTCCACCTTAAAAAAAAAAAAAACTTTGCAATTTTTTGTTTTAAATAAGGTGATGTTCTTGAATCAGTTCGTACCTCAACCTAAATAATGGATGGTTGGATCTTACTTACACCATTTAAGACAGACAGCCCAGATCATGTGCATCTCTAATTGCTAAAGCCCATATAATATCATATACATTATTCTCCACAGACAAGATTGAGTTGCAATAACAGAGAGAGGAAGACGATGAAAATGAAGAAAAATTAATGCTTGGAGTCATCTACAGGGTTAGAATAGAATATTTTTGGACACCTGTTTCATTGATAGCACCGAAGGAAGTTTTGCAGGGGTAAATATCTGCACCGAATCATTGCGGTTTGGATAAGAGATTGCGTTGCCATTACAATAAAATTAAAATTAAAAGCAGTAATAGTAGTTTTTTTAAGTATTTTCTATTTAAAAATTTATTAAAATAATAATTTTTTATTTATAAAAATGTATTTTTAATATAATATATCAAAAGAATTCAAAAATATAAAAAAATAAAATTTTTAAAAATTACCATTCAACTGCAAATACAAGTAACCCTAAAGAGTACCTTTCAATAAACATCACCATCAAATATTATAAGAAAATCAAATAATAAGAGTATTTTTATGAAAGGGAATGTCATTTTCTTTCACCATGTTGCATTTTTATATTTATTTTAGATTTATATTCATCATTTTAGGTATATATAAAGTTATATAATAATAGTCATTTGCTGTGATTAGAGTTCTGAAACTAGTTAAGACTTGAATCTTAGATTGTCAAGTTAATCTCAAAACAATATTTAATTTTTTTCCTAAATAAAATTAAATTTTAAACAAAAAATAAATTTTATTTTGGAGTTAATCCCTTTGAGTTTTATCAAAATTTGAGAAGGTCAACTAGATAAATTATGTTTAATAGACTAGGTCAATTAGATAAGATAAGTTTGATTGGATTAACCTTCAAATCAATTCAAAATTAAATTTAATTCAAGTTTGATTCTTAATCAATAAATTATCGGATTGACCAATCATCAGACCAAGGTTAACATAATATATTTAGTTCAGTGGGCAAGATTAATCAAATTAAAAAAAAAATTATAAGTTATACATCAATTGTCATAGGATCCAAATCACATTAGTTCTACACGTCCTCAATTGTTGTTGTTGAAATGACTAAGGGACAGCACAAAGGGGTTGAAAAAGCACTGGAAATTACGAGGTAGAACTTTGTAGCAGCAAGTAATTCGATAAACGTTCTTTTCATGAATCTCTAGTGGATTTACTTTTTCGTTGCACTATTAATTATAAAAATCTAAGATGAACAGGATACCTATAACTCTGAAGTCATTATGCGGGTCCCAAGTAAGTAGAAAACATCTTCGTCTTCGCTAGCATTTTAATGGAGATTAAAGCAGATCACATATGATCATAAACAGTGTTCAAATTCTGGTTGATTCATATGATTGGGAATTTAAAGGCTAGCTATATATCCTGCTGGATAATTAGCTACAAATTAATTCTGCTGGCATGATCAATCTCTTCATCAAGCATCAAAACTCAAAGGGTTAGGCTGGTGGGCTGGTTTCTAGATGAACATGTAATTTCACACAGACACGCAACCTTGGCAAATCTCAGATATGAAAACATCTATCCTAATCCGAAAAAATGATGATTCACCATGCCAAAAGTGTACTGTTACCGGACAAAATCATAGAAAAAAGAAAAGAAAAGAAGAAGATGGGCATACCTTTCTTGGCCAGCGGTGTCCCATATTTGAGCCTTGATGAGCTTATCACCAACTCTTATATTCCGGTAAGCAAATTCAACCCCTATAGTTGGCTTTGAATCTAACCGGAATTCGTCTCTGGAAAACCTTGATAAAAGATTTGATTTCCCAACTGCAGAGTCTCCAATAAGAACTGCTTTAAAAAGATAATCACACTCTTCATCATATGAATCAGCCATATATATATATTTATTTATATGATCAACTCCCTGGCTAGCCAGCAAGCTCTTCTTCAAAAAAGAATGAACAAGAAAACCTAAAGAATATGTCAGAAGATGCAGAAGGTTGAGAGTTTTCAAGAAACAAGAAACAAGATTGCTGAGGCATGGTGGAAAGTCATGTGGAGAAGTATATCTATATATAACTCCAAAATCAAAAAAGTCATGTTCAGATTTATAATTGCAAATAAAGTGACAGGTACATGTAGTAAATTAGTAATCTTCTCGGCATAGGTTTGGAGGGTATTGAGTGTTTACATGTGAAGAAATGGATAGAGACATGATGGCTGTTTCTATAATGCTGTCAATATAAAGAGGAATAATCAATAATCCATCCTTAATTCTTAATCCTTCCAATATCATTACAACTCCTGCAAAAAAGCGAACGAAGGACCAGTAATGTCCTTCCACGTAGCTCTCCCAACGACTTTTCAAAATTCCTGTTGCCATCCAATGCTCAAGTGGCAATCGATAAACTGGGATGTCTTCACTGAGTGCTGACAGTGTCGTTACTCTATCAAGGATCCCTTGTTTGAATTCAAAGATTGTAATCAGTTGCTTGAAAATATTGGATTAAGCTATAATGGCTAATCATTCCAGTCTTTTATTTTAGGGTTTTTAAGCATTTGGATTTGACCAGAGGTTGGTGGTGAGTTTCATTTCTACAACTAATATATAACCAGATATGGTATGAAATAAATTATTTTTCTGTTTTCTTCTTCCTTACAGCAGGACTGAGTTAAGTAAAAGCTGTGCGAGGATGGGAACTTGTGTAGCAAGCAAGAACAGGCAAGTTTATATGCAGTTCTGAGAATGACCCGTGAAATGAAGGCAAACAAACAAACAAAGCTACTATGATTCCATTTTTTGTTTATGAAACAATTAAAAATAAATTATTAAAAGAAAGGTGAAGGATCTTCGGAATAAGTCAAGAAACCTTTCGGCTTTCACGAGATTAATGAAAAGCCAGAGAAGACAAGCTGATCACTATAGCTTTTCGTGATCATGAAAATTGCATATGCTCTTTTTTTTTTTTTCTTTTATTGATAAAGGCTAACTAGACATCTTGATTGCAAGATATCATGTAAGAAAAAAAGCAGAATAACTATTAATCGAAAAGAAAGATGAGAAAATAAGGCCATAGATGTCTCTACTTATATTTTATCATATATTTTCTTCTACAAATCATTACAAGTTAAAACCAATTGAGGCTCATTAGCCACGCGTACGCCAGATAAAACTTCTGAAACCAAAAAAGAAAGAATTTATAAGCGTTTACAAAGCCTTTTTCTCACAAAAATAAATAAATTATAATCACAAATAAAAATTTGATATATGCAATTAATTAAATAATCCGAGAGTCATCTATTACAACTCTTAGATCATTAAGCCGCACTACAAGGTTAATTAGATTATTAAAACAATTTTGAATGCAAAAAACAATATTTAAGGATTGTTAATATGTTTTCAAAGAGAAAAAAAAATTATCATGAATTCAAAATCAATCTGACCTTTACTGAATAGTATTTTTTATATATAAAAATATTAAAATAATAATACAGTTAATTATCTAAATTTATAATTCAAGTCCTAAAAATATCATAAACCCATAAATAAAGTAAACCAAAATAAAATATAATGTTCAATTTTCAATCAAATTAATGTCGAATAATAAAATTAAAAATTAAAATATTGAATTAAAATAAAAACTAAAAAATAATTTGAATTAACCCTCAACAAACTACTACATCCGTAATCTAAATCATTCACCCCACTGGAATTAACAACCTTTTATTTTCAAAATAGTTTTTCATTATCTATACCCCAACCAGGTGGGTGAGTTTTTTTTTTTCATACAAAACAAAAAAAAACAAGGGTTGTTTATGGGACTAAAATAAAAATAAAAATAGGCCTAACTTCTTTCAAAGCTTGATAAAAAGATAAAAAAAAAAAGGCTTTTTTTAAGTTAGATTTTTTTTAAAAAAAAAGCATTGAGATACCAAATAAAGGATGACATAATATTTTTTGAAGTCTAAAGGTTGAAAATACCATTTCTATAAAACTCTTGCTAATGCTTGGTTGACTCGGGGCCTATATCAGGTCAAGTTTTTTTTAAATAGAGGGATGAAATGACCCTGCGTGGTCTACTCAAAATATATGAGGATAAATGACTTGGTGTGACCCACTTAAAAAGTATGAGGATGAAATTAAAAAAAAATAAAGATGAAATTAATAGAAAAAATACATTTTAATCCAACTTCTTACTTATCCTAGTTTAAAAATTAAACTATGTAGGAATTGTATAACATAATTTAATTGACTTGGTAGGTTTAAAGGCAATTTAAAAGATTATAAAAAAAAATGGTTTAAGGATTAAAATGAAAAAAAAATAATTAAATTTAAAAAAAGGGGAGAAATGAAGAAAAAATAGTTGAGCTGAAAAAAAAAAAAAAAGCTTTTTGTTTATGGAACTTTAACTTCAATAGGCTCATTATGTATTTAATGACTAAAAATGGTGTTTTTGCTAATCATCTCCTTAATGGTGAACACTATATTCATCAAGTTTCTTGGATTCCTTCTAAACATGGTTGGATCAAGTTCAATATTAATTTTTTTTGGATTCGAGGAAAACCCACCCCCTGGAAATCATATTTTGTGGGTCCAGGTGAGCGAGTAAAACCCTAACTGTCCCGAGCTCTTACAAGAGGTGCACGTTCTGACTCAAACTCGAGATCTGCTGTACAAATCTCAAACCCTTTGTCATCACGTTATGCCCCTTGGGGACAAGTTCAATATTAATGATAGCTCTTTTGGTAACCTTATTTGATCTAATTGCAGAGACAACATGAAAAGCCTGGTTGATGCATTTATGGATCATATAGGTATGACAAAGTATAAGAAAAAAATCTTGATACATCAAATGACTAGTCTGACAAAATGAACCATAACTCTAGATTTAAATATTGGATTAAGCTCAACTCGGATAGATTCATATATCTAAAAATTGAATTAAACTCAACTCAGATAGAAGGTTCTCCATGCCTAGTTTTATAAAGAGTTAGTTGGTTATAATAACCTAGGTTGGAAAAACCCTCAAATAAGGTCTAGAAGATTTTTTTTTTGTAGTTTTGATTATTTTCCTAACAATTTTTAAATTTTAATTATTTTCTAACTTAGTTTCAAATTGTTTTCTTTAAGTCAGTTTTTACCACTGTACAAATTATTGATGTGTTATTTTTTTCATTATAATCTTATAAATTATTAAGTTTTAAGAATATATTAAAAACCTTAAAACTTGAAAACCCTAGTTCCAACTTTATGTTAGAAGATCTATTCAAATATCACTTAGGCAGTTAGGCTGTATTATTTATTTGTCTAATATAAATTAAAAAAATATTATGTGTTATAATCATTGATAGGCAGTTAGGCTGTATTATTTATTTGTCTAATATAAATTAAAAAAATATTATGTGTTATAATCATTGATAGGCAGTTAGGCTGTATTATTTATTTGTCTAATATAAATTAAAAAAATATTATATGTTATAATCGTTGATCCATCTAGGGCTCAAAAAAAAGTCTTTCTTAATAATAAAATTCTTATCTTATTAGGTTAAAAATATAATTTTTCTAATGCCAACATAAAAAAATATAATAAATTATTTTTTATTTAATATCAAGAATATATCTTATATATAACTTTAAAATCCCACGTATTAAAAGAATTTTTTATATATTTTTTTCAAATGTAGGCCAAAATCCTTTAAAATTTTACAAACTTATTGTAGCATCCATACAATATTTAAAAAAAAAAAACATGTCAAAGTATTTTAGATTTTTTCTTATAAAAAATATGCTTAAAAAAATTTAGAATGTTTAGATATATGAAAAAAATAAAGAAAATGTTTTTATTTTATTTTATTATTTCTAAGGTTTTGTTTAGCAAAAACTTATTTTTCTTAGTAATAAAATTACTAAAAATAGGCTTAAGAAGTATTTGTCAAACATACCTTTAAACCCAAAAAATAGCAAACTAAACAAGGTGTTAAACCTTTTTGGTAGTCTACGGTATGTTCCATCTTACATGTATTATGATTATCTATCATATCATTGGTAGTGATTGAGATTGTCAAAAACCAGTATTGAAAGGATAAATTATTGCTTTTTTTAATTAAATTTCCACCAACAGTGCTAGTGATGATGTCCCAAAATATCTAAACAACTTAAAAGCAAGTTTTATATGTTAGATAATTGGTTAATCTTTTAATTTTAATAATCTAATCCATTCTTCTTGACTAAGATGATTGATAGCCTATACTTGGCACCTAATAAACTAAGGTGGCTAGTGATTGGTGCTTATAAAATGTCCTTTTTAGTGGTTTTGGGGTTCTCCAATGTTAAGTATGTATCTTTTGAGAGAGAGAAAATGCAATGATATTTTAGAGAGAAAAACTCTAAAAATATATATGCTAAAACACATTGCGAATGAAAAGATTATAGACCTAACGTCTAAAGGATTCACGAGATATTTATAATCCATGAATCTTATCCTTTAATGTATAAGAGGAGTTGAAGTGTTATTTTTTCCTGATAACATTTAACAAGTGATGGATATTCTTTACATATCATAATAAGGGATAAACATTCCTTACACATCATTAATGTTGCTAGAAATATTGTAAGTCCTTAGAAGACTTTCATACACTTTGGGGTGTTGGAAGATGAGCATCTTTGAACTTAAAATTTCATGTTAAAGATTATAAAAATAAATAAATGAAGTTTTATAGCCCAATAAGGGGCTCATAAAGATTGTTAATTCTATATCCATTTGGACTAAGTGCATAGTTGAACCTAAACATGTTGAGTCTGACAACTAGTCAGATCTATATGTATTTAGACTTATAAAGATGTTGGATTATCACCATGTCTTTGATTCCTTTCTAACCATTATAATTACACAAAAATTACACACACACACACACACACACAATGCTTCATCACGATGATATCAATTAAATGAGTGAAGTTGGATATTATAATTCATTGCTGATATATATAAGAATTGGCATATGACCTGTTTTAAGAAGAGTATGCAGTGGAATGATGGTTTGCTCTTTCTATGGACTGAACTTCGCTCTCTTCATATTTGGTCCCAGGTAATTTATCAACTTGAGTCTATAACTTTTACCGCATCTTTAAAATCTTAAATGAAGAAAATAAGGAAGAGATTATGTGAATGAAATTGATGTCCTGTGCACTACCACATTTAACAGTTTTATCAATGATATTTTATATCGGTATT